ACTGGGATGTGTTTGCATTCGTGGCTGGAGTGAGTCGAGTATTAGAGAACCAGTAGAGGTGATTTCACAACAGGGCCAAAAGTGTAGCAGCAGGAATGCAGTTTTTGGGCTACTGTCTCTGCATACAGATTCATGCGTTCTGTTTGTGCGGCAACTGTAGCGGCCTTGCAGTTGTGCCATAGATTTCACTCCTGTTGCTCTCTCTGCCAGTATTTTGCAGCGCTCACACTCAAAACTAATCTTCTCCTCACTTGTGATCCGGAGATCAGACTTGAACTATCTAGAACTCATTTGCTGTATGTCTTATGGCTCTGTGGCATCAACCTACAATGCAACAGCCACCCTCGCACTTCGTGTTTCTGTGTTGTTGTAAACGTATGAAGATGAGGCCACGATTTATGTCATCTCGTCTTCTACTTATGCCTGTATCGCTTGTGGTTTGGGCCGAGCCAATAGGCGAATGGGTGTCGTAGGATTTTTGCAGAAGCACAAAAAACGAACCATGTGTCTATGTTTGGCTTTGCATCCAGAGGGCCTTCGTTGCGACAGCAAGAAGATCTCGAGCAGGACAGGGATTGAGATTGCCTTCCTTAGCAAGACATAGAATATGTATATTGCTTCTAGAACATTTCGGACCAGTAATCACGGTGCCCTGAATGGCCCGAAAATTAAAGACCATCATATGTTTGGGCTACCGATTTCGTATTCCAACAGATCCTCGGTCGGCTTGACATCTCCAGCGTTTCCGGGTCCGACCGTTCCGGACCACCAGTAGAATGGCTTCAGAGAGGGTAGGGGCCCCAACATCAATCGGACCCGGACAAACCAAGCATTACCTGGGAGGCGGTCCGTCGTACCAAGACAGGCAATGATAGGATAGTCGAATAGCCCACGTGCCTGTAGCTGGGCTTGAACCAGGCCAGGTCGATGCAAAAAAACACAGCACCTACTTATAGGAGGTACATGGCATGGCAGTGTTGTGAAGTACTTGGTGTTGCGATTACTGAATTATTATTGCTCTTTGGCAGGCCACATTCTGAAGCTTCAAGACTGGGCCGTCTGTGGGATGTGATGATTTGATAACCAACACCACACTTATCCTCACAACTGCGAACTCTTACCCTCACTCAACCCCCCCCCCCCCCCACTGACAAAATCAACTTCCAATGTTCCCCAACTTCAAGTCCATCCGGGGTTGCCCACACATCCCGATCCAAAAAATGCTTCGCATGTCTTCAATCCACGGCTCCATATCGACAGTAGCCCCTTGTAGCCCATAAGATGAAGTATCATACGAGCCCGGCCCTGAGTCCAGTCCTGAGTATACAATCAACAGAAGTTCGTTCCCTTCCACCCCCCCTGACCCCGATGTCACGCCCAAGCTCGAACCCCTAAGCGCTACGTTCAAGCCTCGAAAATTTCAACCGCACACAGTCCCTGCCTGGCATGCCCTAAACTCTAAACCCTATAGATAAAGCTAGGCGGGAGGCAAAAAAAGTAAGCTGCCAGAGGAGGTTGGTTCTTCGGGGGAGACGCAGAGCCAGTTTGGAAACACAGGCTGGGCCTAAGCGAGGAAAAGGGCTTGGCTTGAACGTCGCAAGAGCCTCCAAACCTGAAAGATGAACGGATGTGAAGCTCAACAAGACGAGTCAGTCAACTAAATCCTGCAATCTGGAAGAATCCCTGTTACCATTATGACCCGCTATAAATGAGTCAGCAGCCAGATGTAGCACCGTCCCCCAGACGCTTGCCGAGAGACGTGCCTGGACATGACATGTCCGAGTGTGTAGCTCAAAACAGTGCACGGCTTGAGGTACTTATTAAACAAAGATGTCCTCAGAAGGCTGAATATCTCCTAGCCTCTGCCAGGCCGTGCCCTACCGGGTGATCCACGGCACCTTGCTCCGGAAAGCTGACCCCGTCGAAGTCTTGGAGCGTTTGGCACGTGATGTGCCGAGGATAGTTTACCTTTTCTTGTTTATAGCTTTCGGAGCATTAGATCATGCGGTGATCATTGCCCCTATCTGGATCACGGTGTCGGCATGACCATGATCATGGTCATCACTGATGATGAGGGCCGCATAACGCACAGGGAGCAGGAGCACAAAAGCAGGAGCACAACAAGCAAGAGTACAACTCTTCTTTCCAGGGAGGTGGTTCCCCAAGGCCGGATTGACAACTTTGAACCGCATGGTAAGTCCACAAACCCGGCGTCTCCCATTCATTCATCATGCCAAGGGCCTCTTGCCAGCACAACAGATGCGCTGGTAAATAGAGATTTCTCTGGATATCAGCAGTCGTCGCCATGGGGCATGCTTCGAAACTTGCCATTGAAGCTTTTCAACGCTTCTGTGTCTTAGTTAGCCAGAAAGCCTCCAGTCCGGGGCTTTTGAACTTGCACTAGCTGCTTGCATTCGCCGGCAGACGGGCATCATTGCTTGCACCTCGGTGCAAGGCTTTTGCTCTGGCACAACCACACACAGACAAACACACACACACACACTCTCTCTCTCTCTCTCTGTCTTTCTCTCCCCCATTTCATGAACGAAGCCTTCAAGCCTTTTCCGCATGGCCGAACCCTTCGTATCCTGCAGAAACCCCAGCCCCACCCCTTGAGCCTGTTGCCGTCGTGCAAGGTGTCCGTTGCAGGGGCCGCCTCCCAGAAGGTCCACGAGCTTTCAAGTCTAAACTAACACATAGTCTAGTATAGTAAGCGTAATTAGTCGGAATCGGCAGAATACACGCAATGGTAGTCGTAATGGTAAGATAAGGGTAAGAGCGAGAGTGCGAGAGTAAGAGGAGTAACAATGGTAAAGCTGTTGATGAGGTTTTTGCTCGGCATTTGGAGCTGTTCAGACTTTAGGTTCTGACCATGGTTCTGCCTCGACGGTGCTGGAAGTGTGCCCCAGCTCTTCCGAGGAATTTCGGCCCCTAAATGAGCATATGAAGCCTGTAGGCTGGACTCCCGGCGCTCGATAATCAGGGTTGGCAGCGAGGTAGCTTGCAGCAAGCGGCCGGCTGGGAGCACCGTGCTCACGAAGGGCGCTCAGACCTGTAGGCGGGAAAGGCAGCATGACTCTACCTCCTCTTCGTGTACATTGTGTGCCACTGCAGCTGGCAGCATTTTAAAATATTGCATAGTGTTTCCAACTGAACTCCATGTACTCGCTCCAGAAGGAATGCAATTACCCAGTGATGATGCCTGTGAAGGTTATGCATGTGCCGAAACACCTGGAAGCTGAAGTGGCGTATGCAAACCATCCGATGCAAACTCTGAATTTGTGTCGTTTATCATCCACATTCGTACAGTGCCCGAAAAATCCAATCCATAACGGCTCGCGGGCCCGCAGATGAGATGTAGACAACTGTCAACCATCATCCTACACCATTATGTGCTATAGAAGAGTATACGATACAAGACTAGCATACTGCAACATACTATATATCGGGCGATATTTTTCTGCCAGGTACCATGGTGCACAGAGTACACTATCTCCTCCCTCACACACGCACACTTACTCTCTGTCTCTCTATCTCCCTCTATCGCGTGCTATCTCCCCCTACTATCTATCTATCTGTCTATCGATCTATCGATCTACCTATATGTATATATATATATACATGTTTATAGAAATCAACGTACAATTCAGCACCATAGATTATCGCCGCCAGTCGAAGACATTGCGTGTCTTGTCGATTGTTTCTCTTTTGCTCAAGCGTTGGGGATCTCATGTTCTAGGCTCATCAAGGCCAATTTGCCCACAGTATGCTTGCAGCTGCTCATTTGCCAGTCGTCAGAAGATGACTACCCCTAGCCATGCTAATGCATGCTAAGTCCTATTCAGTCTTACTATGCTTCTGCTGATTAACGGTCTCAGGTTTGTTGTTTTGCCTTCTTCCCCGGAGCCCTGCTTGAGGAAGCAGCGGCTTAATTAGCGTTGGATTTCACCAGTGGGCCATGGGCCAATCACAAACAGCAGGGGAGGACGAGGCCCGGTAAACAGGGAAGTTGTGCTGAACGCTCTTAAGCCAGGATCCAGGCTTAAGGGTTGGGGTTTGGAGTGTAATCTACCCCTACACATGTTAACCCCTAGCCGTAAACCAGGTCTGGCAGGCAAGCAGATGATAGGCTCGAACATGCACAGGTGCTCATCCATAGAGGGGCAGCTTAGGGGTCATGGGGCCCTTGACGCATTGCAATATATACTCCGTGTTAGCTCCACTCTACTATACGTGCCCAGTAATATACATATGTGTATGTATGTAGGTAATTGTATGTATGTATGTCTGTATGTATGTATGTATGTATGTATGTATGTATGAACGCTTATGTGTGTATATAGAGGCGCACACACACATACATACATACATACATACATACATACATACATTTGTATATATATATATATGTGTGTGTACATATATATATACACATAATTATACATACATACGCACACATGAATATATGTATATACATGTAATATATAGACATAGATATATACAGACATACATACTTACTGAAGAGCTTGGACCATGCATCGTAGCAGGATTGTCCGAAGAGGCTGATCCAGGGAGGCTGCCTTTTTCCTGTTCCATCCGTGTGCGACTGCATGTAGATGCGCAAGGATTGTCGGGGGCCTGGCGCTCATATATACATACATACATACATACATACATACATGCGTACATACGTACATACATACATACATACATACATACATACATACATATACACATACCCACATACACATACACATACACATACACATACGCATACGCATACGCATACGCATACGCATACACATACACATACACACATATGTATGTATGTATGTATGTATGTATGTATGCATGTATGTATGTATGTTTACAGATTATGTACATGTACACGCGCGATCATGCGCGCACATCCCACCCTGTAATGCCGAGGCACCATTGTGTGAAAACGATACCATGGTGTCCCATATCTCACAGGGTGAGGGCGAAGTACAGACCCGGAGGCTTCCCCTCAAAGCACGGAGGGCAAAGCCTCGGGTGGATATGGCAACTTGAGCCCTGGCTTATCTTTGTAGGGGGGGTGGGGGTGGGGGAGAGGGGGGGGGGGGTGGGTTATATTGTGTTTCTGTTGGGGAATCTCGTAGGGGAAGCCATGTGACTCAGTTTTCAGGTCTATGAAGATCGCACTGTCGAGATTTTCTGGACATTTTAGGCGCTTCTTCTATCTTCAAGACTTCATTGCAACATGGATCCTTATGTGGTTGATCGTCTATCATATCCATAAATGTCGGTCACTGTTGGTGCCTACCGACTTCAGAAAGCGAACTTCAATGGAGTTCTGTTGTAGGGCTGCATGTTGGAGCACACCGGCCTAAAGATTTATTCAGTATATTATGCTCCTGTACTCGCGACTATACGATACAGTACAGCCAAAACCTTGTTTCTTATCAATTAAGGCCACTTTGGTAGCTTGTATCCCCATGCTGCTCGTAGCCCAGGACTGTACCAGAGCTCAAGGCGGGGAAACCTTGGGTCAGTTGCTTGTGAAAAGTTGTTTCGATGCTCTGTGTGGATCGGGGGTTAGAGCTTTCTTGATGTCGCTTTCTGCCCAAGAGTGGCTTCGGCAGTTGCTCGAAAATCCGGCATATTCAGACATTACCGTGTGACTTGCTAGACGACTCATGTTGGGCTCTTAAGCCTCAGGCCGGCCAGAACTCCGTAACCTGGCTTCAGCTTAGTCAGGGTGAGGTACCGGAAGGGGCAGATTAACGGGTCTGCGGAGGCAAGCCGAACGTTGCCGATGGTAGTGGAAACAGGCTTAGACGGCTATCTAGGGTTTAGGGTTCAAACTTTGCAGTAGGGCTCAGCTTGATGATGCCCGTGCTAAAGGGACTTCCGACATCTTCTGACGGCTCGCGGTGAGGTGAACAGTTCGTCAAGGGCTTAAGATCATCAGCATGAGAGCCAAATTCCAAATCCGAAAACCCCGGAGCCTAAACGCCGATGAACTGCAACCCTTAGAGCAATCCGAAGAGTAGTCTGTGTAGACTCTAAACCCTTCCAGGCCTTCCACCCAAAATCCTGAAACCACAGTCGAAGGCCCTCGCGGCGAAGCGTGGCCTCCCGGTCCCTGCAGCTGGGTTTGTGTTAGCGGAATTCAATATAATCTAATGTAAGGTTGTAAACCGTCTTTAACGAGTCTGTTTATATCCTTAACTCAGGGCGTCTTGGATTAAGTTAACTATATATGTAACAATCGAAATATGTAGCAACGACTATGTACACATTACGATGGTAGGTAGCTTGTAGACCTTAGTGTTGCCTTCAAGCCAAAAGCCGGATTTATGGAGTGTAAGCCCGGAACAGCGAAAGCCCCCCTGTTAGTCCAACACCTGCATACTTTCCCAAGGCCAATTCCAGGAGAATCTTTTGGGCTCGGAAGAGCACCCTGTGAGGCCAAAATGTGCACCACACTGTTGCGGGAGCATCGTGGGGCCTAGTAGGGACCACGTCGAGAACACAGTTGTTGTTGGAGGCCGGAACATGAGTCGCACCCAAGATAGCACGGCGCTGTGGCGAACCGCAAGGGCCGCAAGGTACTGCGGTGGGAGGAGAACGCGCGCACCCCAAAACACGCAATCATTGTGACTGTGGTGGGTGGGAGCAAGATCGCCACAGATTACAAACACCGTTAGAATGGCCAGGTTTCCAGACCACACCAACAAGTCCCGAGGAGCGTACAGTGAGGAGTTTAGCCGTGCTAAAGCGGAGCACCGGACTCTGGTGGCAGCACGGCTTCAATCACTCCACCCCAGAAACGTCCTCCACCGAGAAGCGTCCCGAAATATGCGGAGCACTGTAGCAGGAGTGTGGTTCATGAGATTATATTCAGAAGCTCCAAATAGGCGATGATGCCGGCGTCCCCACTGAGCCGGAGAGTGAAAGAACTGCGTGCATCGTGTCACAGCAGGAGCCGCAGAATCAAGGGTTGCTGATGGCACGCGGCGCCGTCAACAACCTTTGATTCTGGTATTTTTAAATCAAGCTCAACACGAAACCGCACAAGGTCCCACAAAGCCGTTGTACTTGCATCTGGGAATCAGGTTCGTTAACAACCCTGCTATGTACACATGCTATGTCCTTGGAATTCGCAGATATAAATTAATTGAGAAACACTATACAAAAGTGCGGATTCTATAGTGGAAACATGGACCCTCCGGATAAGCATCGTAAAGTTCTAGAAAACCTTCCTTCATAAGGCCACTCTCCAGCCTTCATACTGTATAGCAACGCCAGCCCCTCGGGCAAAAGCCAAGGCGGAGCTAGCTCCCGGCATGGAGAAGCCGCTCCTGTCTTCCATTCTCCGGAGCGACTGGACGGTTTAGTCTAGCTTGCCTGCAGCGGGCTTCTCGGGATTCCATAATTTATTTAAAGTTTCCCTTGGGGTTCTAGAAGATTGATCTTATATCGCTTTGTAGGGTTTTAGGTTTTCGCAATGCATAAAAGGGTTTATAGGTTTTTCATACGAGGTTTCATAGCGTCATGAACAGGGTTTTAGAAGGCTCTTCTCACGATTTACAGGGCCTTACTCTGGAGCATCCAAAGGACCAGGAGACTTTCAATCAAGCAGGGTATAGGCACGCCTAGCCCAACTACCATACTTGCATGTAATCCCAGCTAGAATTTACTTGCCAAGCCAGATCCTGGCATGAGACCAAGACAGCCACCGTGTCAACAATCGATGTATGATTGGACTGTACGGGTCATTGCAACCACAAGACCATGACCATGACAATAATACGACCTACCGACAACCTTATACAACTGCGATGCTGAGGATGAGGAGGCTGACAATGGTAATTAATGATGATCAGGGCACTCATGCTGTGGTAGCAAAATGACAATCTCTAGTTGATAGCTGTTTTCCTGAGGATGGTAACCGCGCCGTGACTACATAGTATGGGTGCCGGTGTCTTCATCACAAACGTGTTTGTTGTTTCTACCGGCATCGTCGGCAGTGCTGCCAGCCGGTCCAGCCACTTGAAGCGCTTGTCTTCGCCTTGAAGTGCGACTGCGGAAGACCCTAAACGAAACCCTGACCCTAAACACATTGAAAACCTGACTACAAGTTCTGAACTCAAAGTCCTAAACCTAGGCTACGACATCGGTCGGAAGGGGACGCGCTCTGGGAGTATGTGCAGCTCGGCCTCACCCCTGAAACTCAGGAGCTTAGAGCTGGACGCTGTGAGTACCCATAGGCCCCTAAGTAGTTCCTTTTTGTGGTTTAGATTTAGAATCCTATAAGGTAATCCCAAAAAGGAAGTACTTAGGGGCCTATGGGTAGTGTGGAGTTTGCAAATACCAGGACGTTGTCAGGATTCTGTGTGGACTTGATGTGCTCTGTAGGGCTTTAGGGCTTTTAGTGCGGGCTTAATGATTTTATGGTGCACGGGTGCTATGAGGGTGTTGTAAGAGCTGTTTTTGGATTTACTTTTCAGCATTGCATAAGGGTTTCGGCGCAAGGGCTTTGTGAGGATGTTTATTGTCAACTACTTGATTTTTGAGAGTCGGTAAGGGCTTTATATGGTATTACAGGGGTTGTATAAGGGAATCATAATGTATCATGAGGACTAGGGTTGCTTTTCTTCGGTTGACCTGCAGGATCCATTTCCTTTTCTGGACCCGCTTGTTTTCGAAAACCCCCAGATAGCTGTCATGTAATTTTATTATCGTTGATTCCTGCCTTGTGCGACGCGTCCTTCTGCGCCTTAGATCGGAATTTACGCTGTGTATCTCGAACCCTATCATGACAGTGTGCTAAGCGATATCTGCCGTGCCTCCATGCCTGCGGTAGCAGCTGAGCTGGAACCCTGTTGTTTGCTGGAGTTGTGCATAGCTTCCCGGCTCGACCAAGGTATGGATGCTGAAGACAACGTTGCAGCATCGTGGCCTTTTTCGTCCGGACTTGTTATTGTTTGCCTTGCTGATCACGGGAGCAGAACCGTGGTTCAGGGCTATAGCGGCGTGGCAGTTTGCTTGAGCGCATGTCTTCAACGAAAGCGATACGTAACCTGCAACATTCTAGTTAGAGGAACCTAAGCCAAGGCCAAGCTTAGATTCTGCGTCCGCAGATGTGCCGTATAACTGCTGCACCCGAAGTGCAGCAAAGATGGTTCAAGAAGGTGATCCTGCAATCCAGAAGTTCGCTGTTGCGGTTGGAAACACTAAACAGCTGGAAGCTCTGAGAAGAACCATTGCATAAGCGTGAAGCAACGGATTGCTCTGACTTCGTTCTGTTGGGTCCCAGGCCGCAAACCGAAGCAAAACGTGTACTTCGGTGCTATCTGCGCTGCAGAAGATACGCAACTTGCATGCCAAGGGGCCCGGGCAACCATGTATGTAAAGGGCGTAGCCAGGTCAAAGCCTTTCGGAGGCATGCGTTTGCCGACATGTGTGTATGAGTGTAAGATAGTGAATGTAATTACTATAATTACATGTAACATAGGTATGAATGAATGCACGAAGGAAAGAGTGAGGTGAATGAATGAGTAAAAGAAATGAATGAATGCAAGAAAGAAAGAAAGAATGAATGAATGAATGAGTGGACAATGTCGGAAGGAAGGAAAGGATGCATGGACGATTGAACGGATGGATGAATGGACCAATGAATGGATGAAATAATTAATGAGTCAATGAACACTTCTGCATGTCTGACTGCCTGCCTGTCTGTATGTCGGTATTTGTCTATGATGATTGTGCATGTGTGTATGTCTGTATGCATGCATGCATGCATGCGTTTATCCCTGCATACAAGCATATACATGTGTATGGGTAGACGTCTAGTTTGCTCCGCATAAAGCCATTTTGGGACACATCAACCTGATTTGGTCCTTCTTGGGATGCCCTGCTTGTGCACACTCTGCAATCACTAGGACCGAGTCTGACCCTCACCAGCGCACGCACCGGTTTCATCCCTACCATCTACATTTCTTATTCTGCATCATGGTGCCAACCTTTGAATTTCATTTTCATCCGGTGTCTCAACCACCATCCCCCTCCATCCTGCCATCATAGTCGCCGCAAGAACTCTTAAATCCTAAACCCTCAAACCCTAAACCTGCAACATCAACACAGGAGATGCACCTGGCCATATGGGGTGCGACATAGGAGGATCCCTGGCCAAAATGGCGCCCTGGCCGAGTCTTGCATTGCCCCAGAGGTCTCAACCATACCCAGCGAAGGGCCTGACTATTCCTACGTATTACTACTACTACTACTACTACTACTGCTGCTGCTGCTGCTACTACTACTACTACTGCTGCTACTACCATGTGGCATCGCCATGTCTGTTGTCGGTATTATGATGTTATAATTGGTCTCATTCCCTGAAGCTTGGGTTGTGTGTTTTGTTATTCGAGGGCGCTGCCCCGTGTGGAATCATTGGATCTTGCTAGTTGTGGCATGTGGGGAAGCATCTGCTTATGGGAAGGCGACCAGGTCGGCTTGTACCGTGGGGCACGCAGTCCCGTCTTGTCAGGCCGGGCTGTATATACATATTCTGCATGATGCTGGCTAAGCTTGCTCATTCGTCCTGTTTTCATTCAAGCTTGGCAAACTACATGAACCAAATGCCTGGGCAACTTTTGAAGATGTTGCCGGGTGGTCTGGTGGCCGCAGGACTAACACGCAAATCTCGGGTCGTGGGTGCAGTTTTGGTTTCAGATTGAAGGCATTGTGGACATCGTGGATTTAGGGCCAAGGTCGCTAGACTTTCTGCAGGCTCCTCAGTTCGAAAGGCTTGACCAATTAATTAAGTCGTAGCTTCGTTCATGGTAAGTTTCACACACCAGGTTTGCATTCCACCCTGAATCCCTTCACCCCTGAGCTCAACACAAGAATTATCTTGTGAGTCAGGTGCTTTAAGCCCCGGACTAGGTCCTAAAAGCTCCAGCTCCAGGTGCTGGCGCTGCCAGAGCATCAGGCTGCACAGTACCGCTTTCCGGAATCCTTCGGGACTAGCGGCCGGACGCAGAACCACTTGGAGATGACTCTGTGCTGCACAGCTGCTTAAGAAATTGCATACATTGGCTCAGACTTCAGCAAGACTTAGTCTTCAGATGCCTGCATGTAAGTATTCAAAGACCCACGCACGAACACAAGTGTAATCGCCCTTTTGCAGTGCGACACAGCTAGACGGTCAGACAGCTAGCTGCTTCCTCAGGCCAACAGGAGCAACGTAGCTAGCTAATGTCTGGTGTGGCTTTTCAGATCCTTCTGCGTCCGTGCTAGCTTGTCACTCGTTATCTTCATTTTCAAATCTAAGATCAGCTTCCTGAAACGCCTGACTTACAACTTCCTTGAAGGTGCGCCACCGCAAACGTAAGATAGTAGTGGCCCTCTAGTTCAACCCTGGCTTCTCGACCCTGGCTTCTCGTCCTTAGCTGTGGCAAGCTTCCGGCTGTTTTGCAGAGACTGCATTGCACGGTTTCAGCAAACAGGTGGGTGCAAGCAACAAGCATATTAATTGCGCGTTTGTGTGCACTGATGCATTATACTGCACACTGTAGATGTGCACATGTGCTTCTGCATGCAATGTGCTGTGATATGAACCATCGCAGCGTGATACTTAAAGTAATTAAATACCACCCTAATGTAAACTATCGTCGTGTGAAGATATGTAATTGTAGCTAGCAGCGAACACTCGTGGAGCTTTATCGCTCTGTGCATGCTGTTTCCGCTTCCATGCACGCACACATTCACTCGTAAATGCATGCAATACCTCAATCCCACCCGGACCCGACTATCACCCTCAATGCCCGAAAGAGCCTCACTTTTGGCGATTTCCTGCCGACACTCACAGACCCAGATGAAGGACGATCGAGCTTCACGGGACGAAGTTCGTCCTTCGATTCATCTCAGGATCCACCTCTCAGCTCGAGGCGGAAGGGTTTAATGGGCTTCGGGGTTAGGGTTTTGTTGGCAGGACTTAGGGTTTACAAAAGTCGCCTGTCGGGTAGGGCACGGTGGACATTTGTTGGAACCCTAAGACAACAAAGCAAATCTAGCAGCAGAGCCGCGCAGCGGGCCCTATAAATCTTGAGAAACCTGTAGAGAAGCTTCTCAATAAATCCCAGATGGCTGTCGCCCACTTGGGCGACCGCCGCCGCGACTTCGGCCGCAGGGCCACTAGTGAGCCGTTGACCTGTGCCCAGGCTGTGTTATGGATTTAGGCTGTAGGGTTTCGGGCTTGGTGTTTAGGGCTCGTTGGAGCTTCGCAGGGGCTCGCGGTTTTTGGACTGCGGCGTTGGTGATCTGATTCATGGACCATGGTGTTGGGTTCTCGGTTGAGGATTTGTTCGTTTGACTCGTGGAGGCAGCAGAAGCTTGTTGGCAGTTTCTCGATGCGAGGTTTCCAGTGACATAGTGTGATGAATGCAATGTGTTCCTATTTCCGTTGGCAGCGCAGGTGCTTCACGGTCTAAACTACTATCCCAAACTCAGGATGTTGCTTATTTTATGAGATGTCATTTGCCACGCGGCTTTCGCCGGCCTCGCCTGGGCTCTTGAGCTTTCATCGGATTGGGGACCCTGGGTCTCTGTTCTCTGCGATAGTGCCAACTTTAACTAAAAAAAAGGACTCTATACTAAAAGGGGCCCGAATGTAGACAACTAATGTAGGAACCTGATTAAGAAACCCTGGCCCCAGAACCCCAAACCTTTTAGGGATTTTAGGGCTCATATTCAGAACCCTATACTCAAGACCCAGGGTTTCTGAATCAGGTTCCTACTTTTTACCCAAGTCCCTTCCGAGCCGAATCCCTTCGTCACTCGAGTTCAGGGATCCCTAATATCCTTAGAAGGAGGCCCTCAACCCTAAACCCCAAAACCGTTGGCCTGTTCCAGGGGGGATTGGAGTTGACCCTGGACCCCTACTCTCGTGTAGTGCTAAAATTGCCTTCGGACGAGCTCCCTGCGGTGCGACTTAGTCAGCTGGGTGGGTGGGAAAAAACCCTAAACCCTAAAAATAGGAACCTAAAACCCTAAAGAAGCCCTGTGAAAACTTAAAGATCCAGACCCCCGAGGTCAACAGAAAATTCGAATCCCCAGGCCAAATTCTTAAAGGCCCTAGTGAATTCTTCAAGAAATCAGTTCTACAAGCCCTTTGCTCAAAAGCAGGAATCAATCAACCTATGCCCTATAGAATCCCTAGAGCAAAAGCACTGAATCCTGAATCCCAGGTGATGAAGACTCCGATGAAGGGGATCGAAACCCAAAGCCGACTCGCGCCACGTCTGGAGACACCGGAGCGATGCGCGCCGTGTCGGAAGTCATGGGCGAGTCACCCAGGCCATGATTCCATTGAAGTTTAGGGGTTTTGGGGCTGAGGGGCTTACGGTTGGGGATGGAAGAGCAGCAGTCAGTAGCAGAGTCGTCGCCGTGGTAGTGCTCTCGTCGTAATGTTACCTCGCGATTAATAAAGGCCCCCTCACTAGAGCGAAACCCGGCCCTGGACACAATAGTGGAAGGCCCCCTCAATAGAGCGCAACTCGGCCCTGCACAGAATAGTACTACTGTACTACTACTGTACTACTACTGTACTACTACTGTACATCTGTACTACTATTGTGCTACTACTGTACTACTACTGTACTACTAGTGTACTACTACTGTACTACTACTGTACTACTGTACTACTATTGTACTGTACTACTGTACTACTGTACTACTAATGTACTACTACTGTACTATTACTGTACTACTGTACTACTATTGTACTGTACTACTGCACTACTGTACTACTATTGTACTGCTACTGTACTACTACTGTGCTACTGTACTACAAGTTCGACCCCCCCCCTCCAAACAAGTCCGCAACTTCAGAAAAAAGAGACACCAACACTATTCCGGATTCCAGGTTGTTTGGGGGGGGGGGTTATTAATCAGGAGGTCACATTAGTGTCATAGTGATATTCATGGTCGTGGTGGCAGTGGTAGTGGGTATGTGCTGGTACTGGCAGTGGTCTTTGGTGCCCGTGGCAGTGGCCGTGGTAGCGGCATTAAAGGAGTAAAAGCAATCGCGAAAATGATGGTACTCGTAGTGGTGGTGATCTTGGTGGTGCTGCTGCTTGTGTTGCGGGCGCTGGCGCCGTCGCCAGTGATGCTGCTGTTGCTGCTGCTGTTGATGGTGTTGGTCGCGGTGATGGCGCTGGTGTGCCGGTGCTGATGTTGGTGCTGATTATAGGTCTTGTTGTCGTCGTCCTCCTAGCACGGCTGGGACAAGATACATCATAATCCTCGTTGTAACCTCCGTGTTCCCTGGCTGGCTTGCTGTTAGATTGCTTGCTTGATTGCATGTTGGATTCAGTGATGCAAACACACAACCACACTCTAAAACTCCAGAGCCAGCTAAGTTGGAGGCGCCGGGTTGAAAATGAAGAGGAGAATGTACACCCTGGCACACCTGGATTTATGTTTTGAGGCAACCAGGAAGACATGTCCACACACTGATATCCTAAAATCCATTTTGCAATCCTCCAAGTCGCGATAGCTCAATTTGAGATGCCTGGAGACGTGAAATTGGGGTTGGGGAAATCCCCTAAACCCTAAACCCTAAACCCCTATAAACCCTAAACCCTAAACCGGCAGTTCAAGTTTCCTTGCGGGGGATTGCAGGGTTTCGGCTCTTCGATTTTAGCGACTCCTGGGCGCCCTAAACCCTAAACCCTTCAACCCTAAAGCCTAAACCCTAAACCCCTATAAAGCCTAAACCCTATAAACCCTAAACCCTTAAACCCTTATAAAGCCTAAACCCTTATAAAGCCTAAACCCTAAACCTAAACCTGCCTAGATCCTCAGCCATGCGAGAGGGAATAAAACCTGCCAACTGGGCTGACTCTGTAGCCGCACTGCTTTGCCCTCTGTTCTGTACTCAACCCTGCAATGCGGGCTCTTCCTTGCTAAGGAAAAAAACCCTAAACCCTAACGGCTCGCTAGGGCGAATATTCAGATTGCCATTCGTGGAGGTTCACGCGAACGTTCTCGAGCTGGTCCGACGAGGTCTTTACTTCCTCAGACCGCCCTTTCAGCGTCTTGACCCCGAAATCAAGCCATGTCTCTGTCATTCAACTTCTCGATGTTGAGGCATTTGTCTGGGCAGCATTTCGGGAACTGCAATCGGCTTGACATGACACTCTCCATGAATCGTAGAATAGGTGAGATGGAAACCCACGAAGCAATCCCTGGTTCAACGGCAACTGTACTGCGAGATTGCTTTAGGCTGGGTGGCTGTGGTCCCAGATTGCAAGAAGTCCCGGTCCCTCCTGCACCCCCCGAATACCATCCAACCGCGTTGCACTACGAACCAAAGCATAGCCCGAAGCCCTGCATGAACTCGGGCCAAGGGCGCATGGCCACTGCTGGAGGGGGCGCCTGCAAGTTTGCGCCTCTTTTCCGAGAAGCATTGCGAGCGCCCTGGATCAAGCGAGCTATAGAGTTGAATGGTAATCGATCATTTCAAGATACGCTATGGGTGGTTAGTTGGACTGTTTTCTGTAAGTGAGTGCCAGTACAGACTGATCAGTATACTGCAGAGATTTAGTATACATTACATTGCAATCATGCTTCCCAGCGAATCCTGCCTCGCATGCAGCGTCCAAGAGATGTATGCACGAACCCGGGACTTATAAGGTAGACTCTCGATAAATTCCGGCAAGTATACAGGTCTTAATATTCGGTTCCTGCTTCTAAGGGAGGGGGTTGTAGAAATCTCCCTGCACCGAAGACTCTGCATCATAAGGTAGAGCTGGAGCCTGTACGCGAGATGGCTGCAATGGTGGACGGGCTCTTGCTCCTGGCACCACCACAGTGTCTCACAGGCAGTCCCAGAGTTGTGGAATGGCTCAGAGTATTCGGCCCGATCTTGGAGCAGTCGCGGGACAGAACGAGTTTTTGAAATTATGGTCGGCGGCGTGAGCTGGAGAGATGTTGAAGAAGCTGACTGGTGACGTTGATCATTGACGGCAACCGGGTGTCACGTGCATGGAAATTGAACCTTATAGGGGAGCTTCGTACAGAATTCTAAACAAGAGGGATCCTTACTTTACAGACCCCGAACTAAGCTACCCCAGATTTTCTCAGAAACCCCCATCTGAGAAAGCAGGCACAGACGGCACTGGCGGTAGCAGTGGAGATGGCACCCAGCAAGACATCTTCACCATCACGGAGGCTGAAATCTTCAAGGGATTCAGGTGTTCGATTTAGCTGCAGATCAAGGGCATGTGAGTGTATAGTCTTGCAGTATCTGGATGTCAAGAGGAGATAAGAGGAGATGCTTCCGATTGTTTCAACTTCAGATGCACGACGAAGAGGATCCATTCTTAGGTCCTCTCCAAACTACCGGGTCTTTCAGCGATTCGTGCTTCTTCCTAGGATGTACATAGTGTTTCTACAGGGCGACAACATGTGAATAGATGCAAATGCAAGTACATGCACAAGGAGAGGGGTAAATATTCATAGATACATGCAGATAAGAATGTGAAGCTCGTCGCAGCGAACAGCAAGTCCAAGGTGTTGCATATCACGTTGGCAGTGTTGTATCACAGTTTGCAGACGAGAGGTATGCAACTTGCACGTGCTTTAATTATGTGTTAGAGTTTGCAAGACTTGATGCACTTGCAGACTGAGCCGTAAGAGGTAAACAGTAAACCCTGTTCTGTTTGTGGATTGGCAGCGCCTGATGCCCCAGTCGAACACGAACCCTACAAAATAATTCCATAAATTCTGAAGTAATTCGAATCCCCGAAATAACCGTAAATCAGCTTCTTTTCTAGGATGGTGCGACCATCACAAGACCGTGGCCTGAGCCGCTGTTTCCGATGATCTTGGTCATCACGGGCTCCGTGGCTGGAGTTGGAGGGACGGGGGCAGTGGAGGGTTTATAGGCTTTTCGGATTCAGGGCTTAGGCGCCATGTTGATACTAGTAAACAATTGAGAGACTGGCCTTGCAGGTACTCGTACATGTCAAAGACACCCTGGAGTGCAGTTAGGGAGACACAGAGCCAACGAGACGCCTGCACGCATTTGTATGTGTATGTATGCGGCCATGCATGTATGCGTGCATGTGTGGATGTGGCTATGTATGTGAACTGCTGTAGAAGAAGCATCTGCATAGGTGCATCGGTACAATTGCCGACCATGCGTGTGTCAGTGTATACTGTCCATACTACTTGTGTGTGTGTGTGTGCATGTACGGTTGCTGCAGTACCCTTCCAGTTTTCGCCAGGAACCGGTGTTTCGATTCTGCGTGTCGACTCTGCAGCCCCTGGTGACTTCGTCCGCGTTGGTGGTACGGCCTGCGGCGGAGGCGGGATCCGGATCCACGACATAAGTTCCTGGCCAGTATCGGTTGAAGTGTTATGCTAGTCAGAGCTTCGGGTCAAGGAAACTTTGGTTCGGAGTTGAAGGCTGTGGAGCTTGAGGGCTAAAAGCTGCTCTCTGCCGCTGGCAGTTTTTGCTTAGAGCCCCTTTCCGACGAAAGGCTAGTGGATGGAAGCTACCTTCTATTCTCTGCCTGGCTCTAGGATAAGTCTCGTTCTGTGTTTAGGCCGCCGAAAGGATGCCGTACGAAGACCTCAGATGTCATAGCTGAACAGATCGCAGCAATAACACCTGTCCGTTCTGGTTTTTCGACATCCAGCTTATAGCCTAGTGCTGCTGCTTTATTGATGCCAGTACTAGTACTAGCATCAGTACTAGGACTTGTACTTGTAGTTGTGCTTGTACGACGAGCACGACGACGGCGACGACTACTGCTACTACTAGGCCTACACCCTCAGATGACTCCCTGCAACAGTTGCACTCAAAGGACTTAGAGAAACTGGAAATCTCAAGAATCAACTCGGAAGCAGGCGACCACACAGCGCCATCGTTGACAAACAGCAAACCACAACACAGCTTTCCAATGCAATTTAGAAGGTGAGTGGTCAGTTCCGCTTGCCTTGTGCGAGTCTGCAGACGACCCAGATTACTGAATTTCCGCGAGGTACCTTCTTGGGCTTGGCACGCATGCTCACTTCAGCGAAGAGCTTCGACGAGGCTTTCGGGGGTCGAACCACAGACGATGATAAGGATGATGCTCATGGTGTTGAGTTTGTGCGACGGTGACAGTGGATGTGCTACACCTGTTGAACATGATGAGGATGAGGATGAGGACGAGGATGATGATGGTGATGATGATGATGATGATGATGGCGATGATGACGATGATGATGATGATTGATGATGATGACGATGCTGATGATGATGATGATGACCATGACGAGGATGTTGGCTATGCCTTTTATCGGGAATCATCACGAAAGACATTGTGGTTCTGAATTTCAGCATTTAGTCGGCATGGCTTTGCTGTGCCTGACATCACCGCCGGACAGTTGTTGAGGCCCCCTGTAAATGGAAGATCTTGAAAAGCATGCTGACATTCACGACGATGGACGCCCTGACTCAGTTTCATCCTTGTTCCCTGCTAGTTGCTACGGTCGCTCGTTTGCTCTGGGACTGTTACAGCGTGATGTCTCACGTTGCAATGAGAGTTCGCGTAGGGTTCTGTGCAAGGCTCTCATCCTCGCGGCAGAGGGCAATGCACAGAATGCAGAGCCTTGGTTGTTGGGAAACTTCCGCTTGATGGTTTCAGAGTAGCTATCCTACTCAGGCATAAACTGTAATTATATAGGAGCAGCTCAAATTTATCCTTGATCTTCGTTGTTCTAGCCGATTGCCTGAACTTGCAGGAAGCCAGGCTCAGTTTCAGATCCCGCGCTCGCGCAACCTGCCAATGCGCTAGCACGACGTGCTGTCTGTAGATTCTGGCTTGGGGCTTGTGGTCCTGACTCAAACCTCATGAGGTTGTTGGGCAGCCGATGCTGTTGTCATGAACAGATCATGCATTTATCCTGGCAGGAAGGGTGCCGACAATCGTAGAGTGCAGCACGCATAGCAATGACCCAACCTGTACAGCAGAAGCTTCAATGTTGGTTTGTGTGGCATCCGCATGTTTCGCTCAAAGGACAAGCTGGTCAGCGACATCTACGGCGAGGAGGGTTCCGGGGCCTCAATACGCCGGGCCTAGCAAGGCTTTATCTCTTGTTTGCAGCAGATCCAGCTCAAGAAGGTTTATATGTGACGGGCTCGGATTCGTACAGGGCAGGCTTCGCCCCCTTCTTGGCGACAGATCTGCACGCCTAGCGGACAAGGCGTTCAGCAGCACTAAACTATAGGGACCTGAAGATTAAGAGTATTCCCCTGCAGTCTCTGTATAATAAAGATACAAAATGCTCCACGCCCTGCTCTAAGTATTCAGGTCCCTCTTTTGCTTCAGGGGTTCATAACAGGCAGAGGATGCGCAGCCTCGCCCAGGTTGTGTGACATTAGGCCTTCCGGGCAACCTCACAGCTTCGAGACTTGGCACGGCAGTTTCTACTCGAAGGCCTGGGTACCTCTCCTTCCGTGGGGTCTCCTGATATACTTTCTGCTATGATACACTGTTACACACTAGTTGCTTGTTAAACGCACCTATATTAAACTTGGACCCAAGATCGCACTTGTCAGTGCCGGGTCTCGGCAGTCAAGGCAGGTAAAGTTGTTTTGGCTATGCGCAGGCCACGTGGCCAAGCGCGAGCTAAGTGTCACATTTTGTGGGTTGCAGATGCTTCAACACACAACTCGCAGGACTGCCTGCTGCTTCCTAGCCAGAGCTTCTATGATGAGTCCCAATATCGTTTAAAGTTGACAGCACTTCCTTCTCGAACATAGTAGCTCCTTATTAAAGCTGAGCTGAAACTTGGTTTGAACCGCGAATGCCGGACCTAACCGTGCCACATGTGTTGATCGCAATGACCTCAAGCTTCACATCGGCAAAAGCTAGATCTAAGCAAGACACGCCAGAAGACAGGGGCCATCTATCCATATATATATATACATACATACATACATACATACATACATACATACATATATACACATACATATAGATAGGTATGTGTGTGTATATATATATATATGTATAGGGTTTAGGGTTTAGGGGTTTCGGGGTTTAGGCTTGCAAACCAGATCACAAAGGAACTTCGGGAAGCTTGGCGAGATGAGCGAGGCAAAATGCTCGGCTCCTCGCCTTTCCAAGAGGGTTTAGGGTTTAGAGCTTAGGGCTTCTAGGGTTTAGGGCTTAGGGTTTCGGGTTTAGGGCATAGGGTTTTGGGTTTCGGGCTTAGATTTTCTCTCTTTTTTCCTGTCAGCTTGGAAGGCCGTCGGCAGAAACTCTGCGGCCCTGGACCCTCAACCCTCGACCCTATACTTCCAGGAGCGCGATCTGGCTCGGTCCCTCTTGCAGATGGTCACCCAGCAGTCGGTCCTTCTGGCCTCCGCGCATGCGAAGATGGCAGGATGCATCGATCGGCGCTGGCCTGAGTTCTCACGGAGCTTCCGGGTAAAATCGCCTTGCAAGCAATCTGATCTTTTCCTTAAATCGCACCCGTTCTGGCAGGGTATTCTTCGCCGGAGGCTTCGTCGACGAGAAGAACTGGATCGCACGCAAGGAGCGACGACCCTTCTGTGGCAGTGTATCGTGTGTTCACACTTTCTGGCTTGTTTATGTCTATGGCCTGGCCGGAAATGCTTGTTTACATATTGTTTGAAAACATCTCTCAAATTCCCGTTCAACACCAGAGGGTGAGCAGGAGGTGGCTTTATGTCCTGAACCACATCTCACCTAGCCGTAGCCTACAGGCCTACAGGTTATGCTTTTTCACGTTGATCCGAAGCTGGCTGCACAGAAATCTTCAGAATGAACTGACAAGAACCACCCCAGAGACGTTTGCAGCCAAAAGATCCTACGTGAGAGCCTGGAAGTCGGTTAAGTTGGCCTGGGTTTGTCCTGCGTACTGCACCTACAAGTCAACCGCAGGAGACAAACGCAACAGAACGACAAAAAGTCGACAAAGTATCGTGGACCTTGGCTGGACTATCCACATGCACCGGAAGCCCGGCCAAGCCGTCCGCCCACATCCAGATGACCCATTTTGCGAACAGCTACTGTAGGTCCTCAGGATTGAAAAGTCTCAGCCCTGCGCAAGGCCATCGCGGCGAACTTTCGAAACTTGCAAGGTGGGCCGGCCGCGGCGAAGAGAGCTTAATATGTAGATCGGTTTAGTTTCAACCATTACTCCCTGACAATCCCTATTATCCCTGTAGTAGCATAGTATATCCAGTCATGGTTTGGCGGCTTTGGCTCAAGGTTTCGGGGTTGCGTGGCTGAAAGTCATGGGACACGCCAGGATCCCCGCAATAGCACCTTTCGATGGCAGGTGGAGTTCTGCAGTCGTCGATATCTTAAAACAGCAGGGGGGGTGCTGTTTGTGGACGTCTGGCCGCCAAACTCCTCGGTGCTACTACCCCGGCAAAATTTATAGAGGACTGGTTGCAAAAGGGGCTTTGGGTTGTGGACTCCTTTCCCAAATGCGACAGCAGTTGGCGAAAGGTTTCGCAATATTGGCCCAGTTCCCACACCTCATGCTTAGGCACCTTTCTTGTACGAACTCCTGTTGCGGTCCTTCAACCTTAAAACATGCCCTCGAAGCGACCACGCTTCCAAACTTAACCCTTTCTGGGCGGTCGATGAGATCAGGATCTTGAAACCAGGTGCTTTGACCTAGCAATTGGAACAGAGCACGGCTTGGAAGTGAGGGCTTGGCAGCCCTTTCCATGTCGATGCGAGGCATGTAGCTAAGCCTCGAGTCGGCAGGCCTTCCTTCGAACTTGGCCCAAGTCCCTAAACCCTTAACCCTGACGCCTGGCTTGTCCCAGTTGTGAGAGCACAAACCCCTAACGCTGACGATTGTCCAAGTCCCAAACCGCCTAAACCCTGACGCCCTAAACCCTAAGTCCTATAAACCCTAAACCCTAAATCCTAAACCCTAAATCCTGAACCCTAAACCCTATATCCTGAACCTTAAAACCCTAAACCGGTTCTAGGGCCTAGGGATTCCGCGCTTTTAGGCTTTCAGGAT